GGAAAACTCCATAAAGAAGGTGTTTGGGTGCCTCACGAACTCTCCGATGATCATCGTTTCCAAGCTGTGAACGTTGCTTTGTCTCTTCTGGTGCGTAATGTGCGTGAACCATTTCTGAACAGAATTGTCACTGATGATGAAAAATTGATTCTCTATGCGAATATTAAGTGCCAAAAACAACGGCCTAGTCCTAGATAAAAACCACTTCCGACCCATAAACCTGGACTCCATCTGCAGAAAGTGATGCTTTACATTTGGTGGAACATCAAAGGAGTAATTCATTTTGACCTCCTCAATCCACAGTGGATTGTCAGTGCAGAAATCTATAGTCAGCAACTGAAATGTTTAAATCAAGCCCTTCATCAGAAACGCCTTCACTCGTCAATGGGAAAGGTGTTCTTCTTCTCCATAACAATGCATGTCTACATGTGGCACGTTTGATGCAACACAAGATTATGGAGTTGGGTTAGGAAGTTCTCCCTCACCCACCATATTCTCGAGATATGGCACCATCAGATTACCATCTTTTTTGTTCGCTGCAACACTATCTTAATGGGAAAACTTTGATATGTACTTTTGTACTTTGATATGTTCCACAGTTATAGCATTCAAAATGTACTATGGTATATTCCACACTAATAGCTTTTCATATGTACTTCTTTATAGTCGACAGTAACAGCATTCCGAATTCACTTTAATGTATTGAATCCCACAGTAAAATCTTAAATGCACTTTGGTGTATTGGATCCAACAGTAATAGCATTTCAAATGTACCTTTGCTGTATTGAATCCAACAGTAATAGCATTTCAAATGTACCTTTGGGGTATTGAATCCAACAGTAATAGCATTCAAAACGTACTTTGCTGTATTGAATCCAACAGTAATAGCATTCAAAACGTACTTTGCTGTATTGGATCCAACCGTAATAGCATTTCAAATGTACTTTGCTCTATTGGATCCAACCGTAATAGCATTTCAAATGTACCTTTGGTGTATTGGATCCAACAGTAATAGCATTTCAAATGTGCTTTGCTGTATTGGATCCAACATTAATAGCATTTCAAATGTACCTTTGGTGTATTGAATACAACAGTAATAGCATTTCAAATGTGCTTTGCTGTATTGAATACAACAGTAATAGCATTCAAAACGTACTTTGCTGTATTGGATCCAACCGTAATAGCATTTCAAATGTGCTTTGCTGTATTGAATACAACAGTAATAGCATTCAAAACGTACTTTGCTGTATTGAATCCAACAGTAATATTATTCCAAATGAACCTTTGCTGTATTGAATCCAACAGTAATAGCATTCCAAATGTACCTTTGCTGTATTGGATCCAACAGTAATAGCATTCCAAATGTGCCTTTGGTGTATTGGATCCAACAGTAATATCATTCCAAACGTACTTTGCTGTATTGAATCCAACAGTAATAGCATTCCAAATGTGCATTTGGTGTATTGGATCCAACAGTAATATCATTCCAAACATACTTTGCTGTATTGAATCCAACAGTAATAGCATTCCAAACATACTTTGGTGTATTGGATACAACAGTAATAGCATTCCAAACATACTTTGCTGTATTGAATCCAACAGTAATAGCATTCCAAACATACTTTGCTGTATTGGATACAACAGTAATAGCATTCCAAAGTGCTTTGATGTATTATTAATATACTTTTTATTCTGAAGATACCCACTGAACTAGTTTAAAATTAAATTATTAGTAATTGTTTCTTTTCTTGTCCATCATAGTTAATCAGTTTGTAATCTTTTTCTTCTATGTAAAAAAATCTCCCAGGTCTTTTGTAACCATTACAAATATACGTTGCACAACAACAAACTTTTAACCCTCAAGTGACCGACTTATTTACATATTGTTCACTACCAGTGGGGTTCACATTAAGTAATCTTATGTTCTTGCTGTTGCAACATTTGATTAAAGCACTCAATGAAATAATTGATTAAATCACTCATTTTCTTTGTAAGGTAGGAAACTTCTTCAGTGATTAATTGTAATATTGATGCTTTTTTGTGTTAAAAAATGTTTTGTCATTTGTATGTCATTAAGGATTAGTAATAGGTAAACCCATGGGTCCATAAGTAGTTTGGTGTACACTCAGAATAAGTTCTTCCAAAAACAGATGCATTCAATTGGTATATCTATTGTTAACGTGTGAGTGACAGAGTTTTGTTATTTTGTGCAAGTATTTGTAGTGACTTTTATCTCACCTTCTAGAATAATTTAGTCATGATTGACTTAACATGATTATTCTAAGAAAGGTTATGTATCACATAAAAAAACATTTATTATTGTATCTTCCATAGGACGATATTTTAGGTATGAAATCTATAGAAACAATATGATGATAAGGTATTCGGAAGACTAACGAGTTCTTTTTTTCCTTCAGGTTTTATTACAGTCAGTAAATGAACATAAACCTCTGGTGGACAAACTTAACAAAACTGGTCATGCCTTACTGAGATTGTGCGAGAAGAATGATGGTGTCAGAGTTAAAGAGTGTATGGACTCCGATAATTCTCGCTATACTGCTCTACGTAATTCTTTAAAAGATAAGCAGAATGAGTTAGAAGAAGCCCTCCAAGCCACATCTCAGGTAAACTGGTTATTCTGAATTATAGGAGTCGAAAATTCATTACTCAGCTCATACTGTATAAACTGTGTACTAGGCAATAATAATTGATAAGTTTTAAAAATCTTAAGCTATAAGAAACTAGCTGGCTACTTCATTAGAAACTGGCTATTAAACTACAGGTAAGGAATATAAATTATTAGTTCATCAATATAATGAAGAAGCATAATTTGTCAGTTTTCAGATAAGTTAGATGGGATGTTGAATGCTTTGTCTTCAACTGCTGACCAACTCAACAATGCTGAACCCATCTCGGCGCATCCTGATCGTATTCAAGATCAGATTAATGATAATGATGGAGTCCTGCATGATCTGTCCAAACGATCTCCTGCTCTTGAAGCTGTTAAACAAGCTGCTAATGATGTTATTTCAAAGGCAGGAGGCGATGAGCCTGCCGTCAAAGGTATTTGTGCTGGCTTTTTTGTATTGTTAATATTTTTTGAACTGAGATGAAATATTGTCATGAAACAAAGGTATATAATTTTAATTGAAATTTTGTAAAATAAATGGAAACTTATTGTGAAATGAAAGTAATTATATGTGCATAAGTTATTTTTCTATGGTCCCTTTTTTTCTGTGCATGTCACAAGATTTTAGTGAGTTACATTCAAAATTTTATTAAACTACTTTCTCATCATGGTATATAAATAAATTTCACATAATAGTGTAGCTAATAATCCAATTTTCAATAGTATATAACTTTTCATTTCATAATTTTATATATCAATATTAAGAAAAAATCATGAATTTCCCCTAGTATGAGAGTTGTTGCATTTTATTTCTTGATATCCTCTCTCCTCTAATTAATTTACAACCCATCCAAGAAATATGAATTTTGATATAAATTACTCATTATAATATTGTCATCTCTCAGACAAAGCATAATTTTTATAGCCTCCAATGTTATTTAGTTATAGAACCATCAAATAGAAAATCATACCCCTTTTGCCACACCAACCTGTTACATCTTCTCTATCAGAAATTGCCAGTAGTTCTATCTTACGTGTAATACTGTGTTTTTTATAACCAATAGGAAACCAAGGTTTTAATCTATAAAATGATTTATTATATTACAATATCTTCTTTACAGAGAATTACCTATTTGACTTCCAGTTCAAATTTTATTCCCATGGGAAACACATCAACAAGCTTGGCTGAATTTTTAATGGCTCTTGTTACATAGTTAGAAAGCCATAAAAATGTGAATAGTTGTGGGACATTGTCTGCTTTTTTCACATGAGATTATTCTGTTTTCTTTGGTGCTTTATTTAATTAAATGTTAACAAATTGTTTAATACAGTAGTACCATTAGTATTAAAAAGTAGGGTTAAGTGTCACTGACAGTCAACAGCAAAAAAAATAAAAAAATAATAGGAGACCCAGGTAAACACTTTATTTTTCTTTTATCATGTATAACCTTTATTTATTATTATAAATGTACCTAAAATTTAAAAATAGGAAAGTATTTAGGTTAGATTAGGTAAAATAAATAATAAGAATATAATGTTTTCATGAGATATGCTCACAAGCAACTCATGAATAGCTCATGTATTATGTAAATCGATAGGGTGAGCTGCACATTTTCCAAGTTGTTTAGAAATTTTATGGTGGAACTATCAGTTAGTCATGGTTTAAAGGGCAATAAAACAATAAAATTTACGTATAAATAGATGTATACTGTTACAAGTTTAGGATAAACAAATGTAGTTTCTTATTACATTCTAGAAAGAAAAAAAAGTAATTTAGAATTTTTTCAGATTTTTTTTTTATCGTTATGAGGTCAGCCAAACTGACCAACCTCGTATAGAGTTAGGGTAGAGAAAATATCAGATAAAATCAATAAAGTGTTTGAAATTTATTTAGGAGGATTTTGAGATTATGCAAATGAAATTTGAGATTTTTCAGATGAAGAAAGGTATTTTTAATCTTAACATGAAAATCACGTTACATTCAGAGCAGTCAACACTTTGACTCCATATATTAATCGAAAAATTTTTCATGAAAATACTTTGTTAAAAATTCAGATTTCTTTGTCTACAAAAGACATAACATTTACTGAAAGCTTGCAAAATTTTATGAAGATACACAAAACATATTAGAAACTATAAAGGTCAATTTTGGGTCATGAACTCGGTCAATTCGACTGAGCCATAACTAGAGAGTTAACCAAGGGGAAATTTGCCATGAAACACATGTATTACCACCTGCTAAACTACAGGTAATCTTGCTCACTAAACACATGATTTCTCATCCATTAAACATGGCTACACTTGCCAAATATATCTAATCTTGAAGGATAAACAGGAATACTTTCACCTGATAACACGGGTATTCTTGCCTTCTAAACACGGTAACTTTACCTGTTTCTTTGTTACACTGTTGACGTGAAGCTTTAGTTTACTATGAAAAATAAGGTGTTAATATTCAACTAAGTAGCTCCAACAAACTTTTGTTGATTGAAAAATAAACTGTCAATTAAGTATTTCCCATATTAAAGCAATATGTATTTTTTCTCGTGTATTTAGTATTTTTTGTGCTATTTGTGGGAAATGAATCAACAGAGTAACCTGTTTCAACTGACCTGTAAATTCTTTATAGTTTTCCTGATTTGATAACTGTTCTTGTAGACATCAGACAAAAGCTTGACAAGCTGAATGATTTGTGGGATACCATCCAAAAGTCAGCTAGAAAGCGTGGAAGATCCTTAGAAGATGCCATGGCCTTAGCCGAGCGGTTCTGGGATGAGTTGACAGCTGTAATGAAAGCCTTGAAGGAGCTTCAGGAGTACTTAACAACTCAAGAGCCTCCAGCAGTGGAACCGAGTGCCATCCAACAGCAACAGGAGGTTCTACAGGAGATAAAGCAGGAGATGGAACAGACCAAGCCTGAGGTGGACCAGTGTCGGCAAGTTGGGCAGGACCTCATGCAGCTATGTGGAGAACCTGATAAGCCTGAAGTCAAGAAACACATTGAAGACCTAGACTCGGCATGGGACAATGTAACCACACTGTATGCCAAGAGGGAACAAAACCTGGTGGATGCCATGGAAAAGGCCATGAATTTCCACGATACACTTAAGGTAAGTTGGTCTTTGTGGTTTTTCTAGAAAGTTAATATTGAAAGTTAACAGTTTTCTTGTGACCATGATAAAAATATTACCTATGTTTAAATTAACTGTCTGAATATGGATAATATTGAGAGTTAACAACTGTCTTTTAAACATCATAAGATATTACCTGTTTTATAATTAACTGTATGAATGTGGTTAAGATTGAGAGTTAACAACAGTCTCTTAACCATAGTTAGATATTACCTGTTTTCAGATTAACTGTCTGAATCTGGTTAATATTGAGAGTTAACAACAGCCTTTTAACTATTGTAAGATATTACCTGTTTTTAAATTAACTGTCTGAATCTGGTTAATATTGAGAGTTAACAACAGCCTTTTAACTATTGTAAGATATTACCTGTTTTTAGATTAACTGTCTGTAGCTGGTTAATATTGAGAGTTAAGAATAGTCTTTTAACCATGATAAGATATTACTTATGTTTAGATTAACTGTCTGTAGCTGGTTAATATTGAGAGTTAATAACAGCCTTTTAACCATGATAAGATATTACCTGTGTTTAGAATAACTGTCTGAATCTGGTTACATCTCTGTATTAGTATACTACACAAGTATCATTTCTTGTTAACTTCAGTTCATGTAATTATGAAATATGAAATGTTTTGTCTTGATTTAGTCATGTTCATTATTAATTATTTGTTAAACTTCTTAGAACTTCTTGGAGTTCCTGGATACTGCAGAGGACAAGTTTGCTAATCTTGGCCCCATTGGTTCTGATATTGAGTCTGTCAAGGGACAGATGCATCAGCTCAAGGTATGTTGTTTGTATAAAACAGCTAATTTGTATACCTCACAACTACAACAAATATGTTATTGTTCGCTCTTTTACTACTACTACGTTCTGATGATATTTCAAACAGTTTATTGAAAGAAAGTCAGCTTTGTAAACTTCTTTAAAGCAATTAAAAACTGTAGACACGTCATTCAATGCTTCTTTGATAATCAGTGTGCAGTTGTAATGGGTGCTACTTTAATAACCTCTCTTTCAACTGTTAACTGAAGAAGAAATTAATGTGAAATGGGTTTTGGATCTTATTTTAAGTCTATTACACTTTATATGTGATCCTTTGTGCTAACTCTTTTATCAAAAATATGAAATGGGAAGATATTTCAACCATTAACTGAAGAATTAATTAATGTGAAATGGTAAGATATTTCAACCATTAACTGAAGAATTAAATAATGTGAAATGGTAAGATATTTCAACCATTAACTGAAGAATTAATTAATGTGAAATGGTAAGATATTTCAACCATTAACTGAAGAAGAAATTAATGTGAAAGGGTAAGATATTTCAACCATTAACCAAAGAAGAAATTAATGTGAAAGGGTAAGATATTTCAACCATTAACCAAAGAAGAAATTAATGTGAAATGGTAAGATATTTCAACCATTAACTGAAGAATTAATTAATGTGAAATGGGAGGTACTTCAACCATTAACCATGAAGAAATTAATGTGAAATGGTAAGATATTTCAACCATTAACCATGAAGAAATTAATGTGAAATGGTAAGATATTTCAACCATTAACCATGAAGAAATTAATGTGAAATGGGAGGTACTTCAACCATTAACCAAAGAAGAAATTAATGTGAAATGGTAAGATATTTCAACTTTTAACCAAAGAAGAAATTAATGTGAAATGGTAAGATACTTCAACTGTTAACTGCAGAAAAATTAATATTCATAACTTTGTAGTGTTTTTGTTTTTTCATATTTGGAGTGACCCTTAATTTTTACTAAAGTACTTTTACTTGTTTTGTATATTCTGCTTTTTCTATTTTGTATTTCTTTCTCCAACCATTATATATTGTATAAGAGGTTACTAGTGTGTTACAAAGCTTCCCTTCTTAAGTTGAGACTGTAAGAAAATAATTCTGTTAAGCACATGAAAATAATTTTTATTTTTCTAATCATTTATAATTGGCATGAGATGTTTCAGTTGAGAATCATATATATTTTCATTAATATTTTGTAACCATGATTCTTTCATTAACTTACCTGTACACCTTTCTTTTTCTTTGCAGGATTTCAAGAATGGTGTTGATCCTCACATGGTCGAGATAGAAGCTCTGAACCGGCAAGCTCAGGAGCTCATAGAACGAACATCCCCATCACAGGTTTCCATGATCAGAGAACCCATGGATGAAATTAACCATCGTTGGGATGAGTTGCTAAAGGGAATAGTTGATCGCCAGGTGATTATCATCACAATATAATAGTAGTTATGTTTCTCAATGTTACTGTTTGGATGAGTTGGTAAAGGTAATAGTCGATCACCAGGTGATTATCATCACAATATAATAGTAGTTATGTTTCTCAATATTACTGTTTGGATGAGTTGGTAAAGGTAATAGTCGATCACCAGGTGATTATCATCACAATATAATAGTTATGTTTCT